ACCTGGGGGGGACAATACCTGCATTTTTCTAGCTTCGCCCCAGTCGCATACAAGCGCGGCCTCGTAAAAACTCTCTTCTACAGAGCCAGGCGGATTTGCAGTTCGGAATTGCTCAAGGCTGAAGAAGAGTTTTTATACCGGACTTTGCTAGCCAATGGGTATCCGGAAAAATTCATTCAGATTCATAGCAGACCCCCGAAGGAGAAACTCACGGTACAAACAGCGGAGAAGAAGGATGTTTATTTGTTCTAACCGTTCAAGGGGGATCACGTGGCAAATGAAGTTGCTCACAAGCTCAGGTCCGCTCTAACGCGCACCTACTCTACCGCACAACTACGACTTATCCACACTACACGAAGGATTCCTCTCCAGAGCCGTCCGAGTAGCTCGCCAATCAGCTCGGCCTCTAACATCATCTATCAGTTCACTTGCAGTTGCGGTGACACTTACACAGGCAAGACTGGTCGGCGGCTAGCTCAAAGGATGGCGGAACACTTCCCAATGTGGCTAAGGCAGTTGCTGTTTAACCAAGGCAGAGCGGACCAAAGAATTAACCAAATTTTCGAGAACAAAGCGGTGAGTTCTCGGACCAGCGATGCGCCACCATCTTAAATAGAGCTGGAGGAAGACCATTAGGGCCGGGGGCTTTATAACGCTTCATGTGCCGGAGCTCCTGCTCGATTTCCTGGGAGGAGGGAGGGTCTGTTGGGGTATACCACTCGGCCCCAGGGCGAGCGCCAAAGGTAGCAGATGGAGTTGGGGGCCAACAAAACTGCGAGCCAAAATGTTCGGCCCATCGCTCCAACCGTCGTTGAAGATTGGTGATTAAGGTGCCATCCTCTTCGCATATTTTTTCACTTATACCAGATCGAACACCTTCGGTGACTCGAATAAGATGGAAGAGTTTCCTGGTATTACCACAGAGACTAGCAAGCTCCATCTCCCTAGCACGTTCACACCACCAAGCTTCGCGGTCCATTTGCAGACTTCTGCGCAACTCACGATCAAGGTATTGGCGTTCCTCACTGTGTTTGGAATCCGATGGGATCAAGCGGCGTCTATCCATCAGCGACAAGGAGTCGGCGGAAATCCAATCCTTCGGTGGGTGACGGGTAACTCCACAAGTGTCGATACTGGCGGAAACTAAAGCATCTTTGATATGCGCCCATTGCGAATCGAGATCACCGTCAATAGTTGAGCCAAGCAAGGTTGACAGTGAGGCTTGGTACCTGGTTAAAATCGCAGCGTTTTGTAGATTCGCAACGTCCGGTCGGTAGTTGGCGCGCTTAGGTGATCCTCCGAAACGCATGCAAATCTTAGCACGAACCAATGCGTGATCAGAGTCTAGAAAAGTTGGCCAGTACGATCGGCAGTCCGTTACGCTTCCGCGCCATCTGTAGCTGATTGCTATGTGGTCAAGCTGGGAGCACTCTTGCGTTTGTGAGGGTGGGCGCCAGGTAGCAGTCTGTCTCCTCGAGTGTCGAAAACTAGTGCTCGAAGGAAACAAGCGATGATCAGAGCAAAGAGCAAGCAATCTGTCTCCATTGTCTGATCGACTGCCACCGAGACCAAAACTACCCCCAATGTGGTGCTCGCTTGGTAGAAGGCGGCCAACCCGTGCGTTAAGTCCCCGGCAAGAATGACTATATCCGTCCTTTTGGAGGAACGCAGAATTTCATGCAGTTGTTGGTAAAAGCTATCATTGACTGCATCCGGGCTGCAGTCTGTAGGGGCGTAGGCGGAGACGACTAACAAGGCACGCTTAACATCCCGACGCCTGCTTACGTTACATGAACCTCGTAGTCTGACTGCACATAGCCGACTGTTGACTGGGATCCAATCAAGCAGAGCCCATTCAGCCTTGGCACTCAGTACAACCCCAACACCAGCTTGACCAGCGGCGGCAAATTCTGGGTCTCCGGAAAGCCGCAAGTAGTATTTGGCGTCAGAGTTTACCGGAGAGGCCATTCTGATGACGGCGCTAGAGTCTTGTAATCTGGTCTCTGAAAGACAACAGATGTCTACCGATAGCGTTTCAAGAGTACGGGCCAGATATGCTTGTCGTCCGATCTGCATCAAAGTTCGAACATTAAACGCTGCGAGGATGAATGGAGAACCAGGTCGAAGAAGAGCTGGAGCTTCGGTGGAGTGAGAGGCGGTTGCGATCGGAGGACATTGAAAACCGGGAGTTTGGCTGTTACTTCCATCAGCTGCGAGACGTGGGTCGTTTGTGACGGTGACCGTAGAAGACATAAGAGTAAATGTAGGTGAAGGACGGGAGGTGGGGTGGTCTGTGAGTGGACGTTGAGCGGTTGAGTTATGACAAAAGAAAGGCATAGCAGTAGCAGTAGTGAGCGATGAAGTCCATGATTCGTCAGTGGTTGTGATACTACCCGGTTGCCCAGGCCGAAGTAGAGGGTTATCTTAGGAGGCCCTACCCGGAGCCTTTGATCAAAGATCTAACCTACGAGGCAACAGGGCGATGTGAGGGCGTCGCAACCCGTTGGGAGCCGGTGACCAAATAGATAGTTCATACGCCTCTCGGTCCGTGAAGGACCAGGGGCCCAACGCACCCTTAAAGTTCAATGCCTCTCAGGGAGGGGCAAGGCGCAGTGACTTTATTTAGTGGCGAGTCACATCCGCCACATCGCAGTGTTGTTGAACGGACATACGTGGCTTTTTATAGGGAGAATGCTTGCCAGGCGGAAACCCACCACGTCCTGGAACACTGCCGCAGAACCATTCGCTGGAACGAGAAAAACCCGAACCAGAGCTAATGTATCAGTTTCCCGGAACGGATTGAGCAAATTTTTAAAGAGAACGAGATAAACTTCAACGACAGCGCGACGCTTCAATGTGAAGCACAACAACCACGCCCACTTGGATGTAGATAAATGTATTGTAGTCACTAGTGGAAAAGTCTGACGAATATAAACGCTCTTGTTCCCGGTCTGTTCAGGCCGATAAACGTTTGCCGCATCGAGATGAAAATAAAGGCAACATGGTCTGCCGACTGCACGACTGTAACCGGAATGATCGAACGAATGAGGGAGTGCTTCAAATCATCAGTTGTGCTTTACCAAGCGACAGCTGAATAAAGAAGTCTACGCGGATTGTGTGGTGAATGTCTTTTGGAAGAGAGGTCCCATTTCGTCAAGCCGAGTCTCAAATGGTTGACCGGTCTGAGTGCGGAACTCCGGTTTCAGCGGTCAATACACACATTGTGGCGAGACAATCGAAATGATAATGGGCGAGAGCTAGAAACTGTTAACCAAAGACGAAATTGTGTGCGAACGCTGTATCGCCATGCCTGTAGACAGAAAACGACACTCGCGAGGTGTTCGGTGTGCGCCAAACCGGGAATTAGGAATTCTTACGTTGCGACAATGAGAAAATTAATCACTTAAATCGCTGCATGAGGATCTAAAAAAACCGTCTACGCAAAACAGTATTAGGATCGAGAAACAAAACAATTAGAGCCACCGCAACATACGGAGGATGCACAAATACTTCGATGGAAATGAATAACGGAGGGAAGCTGTGGTGTCAGGGTGGAAAATCATTTGCGTCAAAGCCGGAAATGTTTGAGGTGACATAAGGCCTAGGAGAAAACGACGACGGATTCACTATGGTCGAAGCCAAGGAGCAACAGTGGATAGTAAAAAAAAGTGGAAAACAGGAGGATGTGGTGTCTTGTGAGAAAACAAATGTAAATTTCAGCACAGTCTGTCCCAACCAATGTGTCGTGGTGCTGCAGGTTGGCAAATCGTGCATGGCCAAAATGACAACCAACAGGCACAGAGCAGAAAAGACTTGAAAGAATAACACGCGGGAACGTGAGCAAGATAAGTACAAGCATATTCGGGAATTCAGTAGTCTTCAAGCTCTGGTGAATCGGTCAACAGCTGATCACTGATGTGAATCGCACGGATAGTGAACGAGTCTGAAGGAGAGCAAGTGAACAACAACTGCACCATCGTCGATGAGATAGCACGGACCCAATCAGTGGCAAGTGAACAGCAAGGAGAAATCAACGGGAGGAGATTTGGAGCACGCGCCGAAGGTAGAGAGGAGCTAATGCAGATTGCATCAGATGCGGAGCAATGCGGTTTGCTTTACTAATGCAAAACAAATCGCTGTAGCCGATCAGTTAAACCTGATAGAGTGGACTGAAATGTTTGGTTCAATCAATGGAGGAATGCAAAGCGAAAATGCCCTACACAACTCAAAATAATAATGGGCGCGCACAGAGCATGCTCTCCACTGCCAAAATCTAAGAACGGGGATGGAGAGAAATTAGGAAGAGCTAAGGCACATAGCGCTGGTACAAAATATTTTTCAAGAAGGAATATTAATTTCGAAGAGTTATTTGGATCAGTAGGATCCAAGAGCTATTGTTTCGGAGTGAAATGCATTTTCGACCAGATGGCACGGCAACTGATGTCTTACTGACAGGACACTCACTCGTATGGCCGCTCATAACTCAACATGTTGAGCCTCCCATATCTGTCAGAATGCCGAGCCCATGATCTTCGACAGACCACAAGTACCTAAGGTAATTAAGCAGACCGCAGTGCATATATTCTCGATGGCTCAATGTGAAGGCATCAGCAGCACACCGGTGCGCTGCACCGACGGCTCGATGTCTAAAGAGCGAATTATCGGTACCGTTAGGTTGCCACATCAAGGCATATACCTCATATCTTCGGCCACCGGTCGATGTAAAGAATTCATAGTTCAATATGCAACCCGAAAAGCGTGCAGCCTACTTGGGGTCGACTGTCAAGGACAAAGCGAACCAAGTTAATACCACATCATAGCATTAAACTCATTGTCGAATTACTGTGGAACGTGAATAACAAGCTGCTAACTGACTCGTCAAAGGTACCACGAAGAGCAGAAAGTAGGCGTATATGAACAGCGGCTTAAAACGTGAGATAACCATAAACCATTCTAAATCTCAAGCGATTAGTAACCTTCCGTGGAGGGGAACAACTGACCTTTGGGACGTGCGGATTGAATTCAACTGCGCGATGAATTGCTTCCACTGCACTCAATTCGGCCGAGTTCAGCCCACGACGTGAGGCGATATCAGGGGAAAATCTGAACGAGTTTAGACAAAAGTGGACCGATTTGATGGAACGTTTTAGTGAAAGAACACATGTAGAAAACTCAGGGCGAAAACACGAATGTAGACGTGCAACAATGGGAAACCGCAAGGGAGTTATGCGGGTTTACACCTTCTGACCAGGTGCTATCTGGAAACTTGAGGGGCAAGGGTGATGCTCTCTCATCATCATATGCAGCTTGTGCTATGACGAACTGAAATAAGGGATAGCATGGTTGTAATTAATGAAGATAAATGTTAACCAAATGGATGAGTTCGTTTGGAGACATTCCTCTTATCACGACTTTGCCCCCAAAACTAATGAGGATGATGAGGTGCGTCTTAGCTGACGCATAACCTGCCTGGTATGAACGACTCAAATGCTTGGAAAATACCGCCCAGTGTTGTACAGAGGCGGGCGAACTATCAAATTACGTTAGGATCAAGTATCGGTGCGCACTTCATTCACTTTGAAAGGCAGCTAGAAACTAAATCATAATCAAGATACGCCGATCGGATTGTGATCATGCAGCTGCGGCCGCACAGAATAGTACCGTGCGAAGTGCCAGTCATGTGAAGTTCATATCGCCTTGATCATGAGGGTTTTTACTACCACCATCACCGCATAGATTAACGCTGTGAGTAGCGTCCGCATTGTTGGAAGATAGAACCATTGCGCAGTATTCTAGTCGAGATGGAGATCTTGTAATTCCAGCCGAACATAGGGTTGAATGAATCCCTACACAAAGGAATAGGTTTATCGATACAGATCGACATCGAAGCAATAACCAAGTTATCTCAGTAGGGGCTCGTCAGATGTAAACCCGAAGAGACGAGAAAGAAAGCGATCACCGTGACTTTGTGAAAACCCACAGAGGTGGGGAATATCACAGGACAGAGGTAAACACAGACTCATCAGCAACAACAGTACTCCAGCAGCAGTACTGGTACTTCTCTGCCGTACAACCATAATTGCCCCGATAACGAGTAATGAAAAAGGGATTAGAGCGGATAGAGAGCACAGATGCGCTAAGTAAGAGTTCCGATTCAAGGCGCCTGCAATTGGATAAAATCATTCGAACATAAGCAGACGGCGATCGTGTGGAGGTAAGCAGACAATAGCGGGGCAGATTCTTTGCAGTTTACACCGCCTCACTTCGTAATCAGCCCCAAAATGGGCAGAAACCTGCACATCCTTTAAACAGGTAACCAGGTTAAGAAACCCCAGCAACTGTGTTACTGGTTACGGTTGCGTTTCACATCCGGAAGGTCTCGGGCTAAACACTGTGAGTAGCATGGACTTCAGCACGGAAGAGATGGCGAACAAATCGTACAAAATCAGGCAGTTGCCTGGGGCCTCATTTCTCGCAAACAAGTCAACGATTGCTTTCTGCGGCCTTAACGGGGTAAGGAGAATAGGGCCGCTTCTGGCAGACGGTCGGCGGGCATACATAACGTGTGCTCAAGCAAAAATAACTTAATAAGACTGGAGCTTAGACCCAATGTATCACCGCTGCTCTGTACTTTCATGCACACCGCATCGTGGAGGACACGAAGCTGCAGTCAGAGATCAACAATGCAATGCAAGCAAAAATAGTCGGATAGCTACTGGCGCTTGAGATAACCGGATTACAGGGACTGAGTCATACTCCAGGAGAGAGGAACGACCAACACCGATGTGAACTCCAGGGAACCCAATTCTGACATTATAGATGACACCGATTCAAGAATGAAATTCCAGCTCTCATAGTAAATGTACAAATTCCAGTAGTCATGCTCAAATCGCCGCAAACAGCGTGCAAGAACCCAATGTGTGGCAGATATCAGCAGCCGTGTGTATAAGTTCTGACAACCAAAGTTCCACCAATCTGTGGACTCTGCTGTAGGTTGCGTGGCGCACACTGCCTCTATCCATTTTTAGTGCACATATCTGCGGTTTTCGAATGTTGTTCTTCCGTATGAGTCGCAGTTGGCTGGTTGCCGTGTCGCATTCTTGGTGCTCGTATACTAATGACAATAGGTGCAGCAGTATCTGCTCTTGGTTCACTATGCCCCAACTGCCTTGTTCTGGAGTCATTTTCACCTTCGGGTTGCTCATTCTACGAAGTAGTTTTATCTTACAATCTGTGCCACCTCAGTTCACTAGCATGTAGCCGCCGTGAATCTCCCTGCTGTGTGGTTGTATACACTGGGCCTCGTCGGTTGACCACTTCTTAAGGCCCCTTCCACTTCAGTAGGCGTTTCCGCTCACCTAGGCCACAAGTGGGAGCGCGCTGTTGACCCCATTGTTTCACTTCCGAACCGACTGGAAACCCACCACCTGGCTTGCTGTTGTTGGTTGGGAATTCTTCGCCCTCCGCATCTGAGTTATCTTTAGGTCTGGGTTAGCCGGCTCGTAGCATAAAGGTAACGAGCTTGTTTTGTATTCTGACGGTGCAGATTCGAGCCTGCGTAGGGGCAGGGCGACCCTCGCAGTATCATTAGTCCACTTGCAATTGGTAGTGGTTGCGCAGCAGCGAGGCATCGGTACTGCATACCGGCTGATGCCTTGGGTTAGCTGTACTTCATTTGGAGGTATTTGGCAGGTTGGCAACATTCTAACTGTTAAATCCACGGGTAGCCGAGGTGTTCGACTGTACAACAACAGGAACGGCGATTACTTTGCAGAGGCCTGTTTGGACGCTGGATGGGACAGCAAAAGCAGCGGTAAACATTCCTCCCAGTCCCCTTGCTTTGCTGCCATGCACGCTTTAATTGTTCTATCGTTCGCTCCGACATCACTCTTGCTCTAAAGAGTAGAGTTTTCAATGCAGTCCTCTGTTCAAACCTCTTGTACGCTTGCGAAATCCGGTCCAATAGACTAGCAGACATAAAGAGGCTGGTTACGTTTAATCATCGCTTCCTTCGCAGCTTAACTCTTGTATAGTGGGAACACCGCGTGAGCAATTAGCATGTTCGGCGCCTTGTTTATGACACAGGAAGAAGGGAACTGCTCACCACCGTTATTTCACGCACCAGGCTCCGATGACTGGGCCACATATTGCTCATGCCAACATACCGACTCCCGCATTGTGCATTGTTTGTGTGCCGGGGGTGTTGACCGGAGGTTGAACGATGATTTGCTCAAGAGGAAGGAACGCACTCACCTCGAACTTGGCATCGGTTGTTGTCTCCCGACTGCCTGGCTGAGGATCAAAAGATGATGAACACGTCTGCATTGATACACTAGTGACATAGCAAGGAGCCGACTACAATGTCGTTTATGTTGTGAATTTCTTTCTCCCTCCAATCCCGCTTATCCTATTCCTTCAACCATGTCTTGAAGCATAATATGTTACTCAGCAATTTGAAAGCCGTCTTCGACTCAGCAGACCGTGCCAGCTAAATTCCTTTCCATTATGCACTCTCTCTACTGTGACTTTCGAGGCCATTTAAGGATCTACGGGAAACCGACTACTGATTTCCCCACGATAAGTGGGTTCGCTAGGGTTGCCCTATATCTTCATTTCTCTTCATTTTTGCGATCGAAATAATCATTAATGATTCGTTTTTTCAGACTCTATCGGATCGGAGGTTATGACAGGTGACCAACCGACCAACCTGGAGTATGCTCTTCCTGGGTCTGATGCAGTCGCTATGCAAACACTAGTGTACACACCTGTGCGTAGCACCGCACGCTTCGGCATGTAGTTTGCACCTTCAAAGTGCAAAGTGCTGTTGCAGGACTGGACAGACACACCTCAGATTCTAGCTATCACCGAACAACTACTGGAAGTGGTGTATCGGTTCACTTGCCTTAATAGCTGTAACACCTCTGGTGGTCACATCACGGAAGTTATTTCGTCTATCAGCAATACCTGTGTAGCTTTTCATAGACTCAACCACCTATCGATGAGACAGCAAGATATCAGCCTTATAATGAAAGGTAGGATGTATAACGCTGCGATAGAACCGGTCTTACCGTGTGGATTACAGACCTGGCCAGTTCGCAGTGAAGGGAGGTTCTATCCCGCCGTCTTTCACACACACTCAGACGTGCCTTCCCAGCGATGAAGATGCAGATCCAGTTCTCCAGCAGCCAAATGGTGAGACTAAACCTCAAGGATAAGCTGCCTGTCCACGCCAAATCAATGTGAATTTCATCATTCTCCTGTTCCTCTGGAGCAGGATACATTGGTCGTACGACAAGACGCTTATCCGACAGGGTGAAGGAGTACCATCTGGCCTGGCTCGGAACTGGAAGTCGCAAAAGTACCAACTTTGCTATCGCCACGCATCTTGCGGACACGGGTCACACCAAATCGGTCGATTCATTCACAATTATCTGTCGAGCCTTCGAAAATCGATCAAAGTACGTTCGTAAGCGGATATTAGATGCCGCAGAAGCCATTGCAGTTCGGCTCTACGAACTACAGTTGTGCACCCAGAAAAAGCTCACACAGGCAATAGATCTTCCTTGGCCTGGATGGACTGCGGTTGAACCGTGCGAGCGCGCTGAGTCCACAGCGGTCACCTGACCGACATTGCTTGCCGCTGGATGATAGTATCAATCAACTGAATGGCGATCCCCTTGGGTCCATGAACAAACTTAGATTGTTATGTAATTGTATAAGCCTGATGATGAATTACCGAAAAGGTACGTTCGCTTATAACGACTTTTGATTCCATAGTGATCGATTCGCAACAGTTAGTTTGAACCAGTCTATCCATCCGTACTTATTCAGGCAGAAGTATGGGCACTGCATAGCAGCCATTTCACTATCATTCGATAGCGCGGTTGAGAAAAAGAACGGTTTAACAGTAAGGAAACGACGAAGGGCTGCAACGGTGTCTCGAATTGCGACCAACTAAGCACGAGAATGTTCAGGGACAGGAGGACAACTACATAACTCTTAGAATTGGCGATAAACGCTCACCACTGTCCGTGTGGTGTGTAATTAAACCAAAAGTTGCCACACTTATATGCATCTCAGACGACCTACTTGCACCGAAAGTGTCTTTGAGCTGGTTGGTTGTATTGCCAGTAGCGTGTCAGGCTCTTGGTGGAAGCCGTCCCTAAAAGCGCCAAGACTTCGGTCGATTGGAGTAATAGTCAGCACTTAGTGCTACACCATGCGTTAACATTGGTTAACCTTGTTGTATAGTCTTCATAGAGACAGTTGTTCACGATATTTAATCAAGCATCAAGGATTCCATCCTGGAGCAGAAAACGATGCCCCTCCAGGGGTGATCTATGGTTGTAGCGCAAGATCCGGGACGCCGCAACCAACAGCAAGGATAAGCCAGTCGCAGTCCTTGTTACGGACCCGGAGCATAAGTCTACACTTAAGGTATGCAATGCATATGTGTAGTCTGCTGACCTATCAGTCTCAGATTAAGAATGTTTGTAACCACCAAGTAAACGGAGAATCGTGGTTTGACGAGGGCTATGGAAAGCAGAATATCATGGCGCAGACGGTAAGATTTCAGTAGAACTGGAGGTGCGAATTTTTGGAGATCAACAGAAGCACGAAATCTCATAGAGCTAAGCGGTAGATAGCACTCAGCTGGCGATTGTAGTTCAACAACCGGAATACAGCTGAGATCAAAAGAAACAAAAATACGAATGCAGGCAAAGAAACCGTAAAAGTGGGGAAGGAAAGTGTTTCCTGGGGCCGAAACACTCGGTGCCCGCGTCCGATTGATAGAGACAGCGCTTTCTGATCATACAGAATACGGTCCAGCAGTAATGGAGGCAGCGACCATCGTTATGTTTGAGTTCATGAACAAATTATATGAGGTAAACGCACTCACTTGTCAGCAACCTGACGAGCTTTCAATAACGCAGCTGTGTAGCAGATGGTGGCCGATTTTGGATAATGAATGTCTGAAAAAAGATGCGAAGTTGAGCAAAGAAAACCAAGAGTATTTGTCTGGAGAAGAAAACGAGGATGTACAGGGGCTTGTCGCCCGCTCTTTGTATCATCACTGGGGAAAGAGTGCATTCTGCAGCCGAACACCCACAACTTCGTGCAAAAAGCATTCTTTGCATGAGTTGAGCACATATACGAAGAAGCGTAGAGCGAAAGAAAGTTAACAAGTTTGAGATGGATGGTGCATCAACTGGCTTGGTGATATCGCAAAAACACTTCGAAGGAAAATGAGTGGTGAGCCTAGATCAAAGTTCAACGAGTGCTGTGGTAACAACTGACCAATTGAAAGAACGACTGAGAAGTGAAGACCAATGAACATGTTCAACAACGGAGGACGGAAGAGACATTTCAAGCAATACCAAGCGGGCAAGTATCGAGGGTACACAGACAGCAAGAAATAGCGAACAAACGCGCGTGTGCGTCTCAAATTAATGACTAAAAGTGCGATAGGATCAAGGGATTAGTATGGTTACCACGAAGATAACACGTCCAACACAATTAAAGAAGAGCCGAAGGGTATAGTATGGCTTGAGGGTACATCGATAGTGGACGTGAAAAAGATGCACAAACCGAAGTAGTCTATCATTGTTCACAACGGTCGCTATGCTCCAGAGAATTCTTGACTAACCACAAGCTGTGTGTGTGTTGAAAAAACGCCATTCTCGTCAGCATCATCAACAGCAGTAGATCAGCCATTGGAACAGATGTTTCGCTGCCCTACAACCATGGTGACCTACGGAACGAAGAACAACAAAAGGGGGAGAAGGGGGACCTAGCGTAAAATCTTAATGCCCATAGTAACCAGTAAGGGTTAAGAAGCCCACGCCTTGTCAACAACATACCGTCAAAAACAGCAGGGTATCATGCAAAGATAAGGCGGCATTGGCGAGACAGCTTCCTTGAGGCCTGTATTTCCGCGCGTCACAATCACCTATTACCCCGCAGATAACTCAGCACCAAACACACTTCAAACAGGCAGTTCGACTAGGAGAGGGCAGCAGACACGCCACTGGTGTCCACTACGAGCCATGTCCTGTGACGTCTCGTGCGAAGCGCAAGTTGTTTCACGTGGACTCCAGCTCGGAAGGTGTGACGCACCAACGGCACTGAGTTTGTTCGTCAGTGACTTCATTTCCCGCTCCCAAGTCAACGTCTGTCCACCTCGAGCCTTGCGCCACCGTACATCCGGTAGAGAAAACAAGGCTCTCCTCGGGAAGAGGTGATCAGGCATGCGTCTCACGTGACAATGTCAACGCAACTCATTCAGTGCTATCTAAGGAACTAGCTTGATTATCACTTCCTAGCCCTCGCCTGCGCACATAATCATTGCGGACAAGTTGATGCCATCAGACACCAGAAATGCCTCGCAGACAACAATGGTCAAACACCTGAAGGCGCCACAGGCCCTGAGACCGAAAAGGCCAGTTCTCAATGCGTAGGGTAGTACAGTCTTCATTGTGGCCCTGTACATGCGGCTTTTATACCGACACCACAGATGCCGCATATTAAAGGTGGTTCTGGTTACGCAATGCGTCAACCAATTTCAGTACTCGTCAGCAGCTTATGCCATCTGTATGCAAGGCGCATTGTCTTACACACATACACGGAGTAACACGTCTGTTGAGCAGTAGTCGTTGTAGATCAAATGAATGAAACCGTATAACGCGGATGTGGGGGAGAAAAAACAACACGCTGGCGATTGTTCAGCACATACCATCATATTTGGCAAGGAATGCCTGGGCATCAGCGTACTGTTGAGCAGCCAAGTAGCATTCGATAAGATTCTCGTGTATATTGAATAAATTGAGATTTGGATAATCTTTGATCAGCTGCAAGTAGCAAAGAAAGATGAGGATTAAGCAGAATGAAACGCAATCAATCAGTACAACGAGTCAATGAACGTGAAGAGGAAATGTTTGCGTGGCGGCAACCTAAAACACGGTTTTGGTGGTACTTAATTCCCTTTCCTCGTTACACAATTTGGATTTGGAAGAGTGACTTTTCGGTCATGTAAGTACACTACTTCACCTATCAGGTCTACCAATCAGAAGATATTCAGCGTTGCGGGTTCGCAACACTGAACTCCATGACCAGTTCCATTCTAGTTTGGACTCGTCCGGTGTAGACAGCCGGAAATAGTTACGGAACTCGAGTTATAGTGGTTAAGCGTGAACGCCTTGATCGTTAAGCCACTGAGATGTGTCAAGCAATGCTTGGCACAAGGGTTAAAAATCTAAAGTTACATTTCGGGGTACCCACCGTGTTTGGATGGAGACACGCAATCTCCATTGGCTCAGTTTGAAGTAAACCTCGGTCATTCCGGTCACTAGAACCGTATCTGAAGTGGAAAGTTTCGGTGATGCTCACTCCAATCCTCGCACTAGACGACGCGTTTCGTCCTTTTTGGACTCATCAGATAGTTAGGCTGGGTCGGAAGTGGAACTCGGCATATAGTGGTTGGCGGCTATTGCAATGATCACTAGGCCGTTTAGCTCGGAGAGCACAGCGGTTAAAAGTTGACTGTCGGTTTTGGTGTACTCGCCGTGTTTGGACTGAGACACGCAATCTCTGTTGGAATCTTGGCTTACTTTGAAGTAAACCTCGGTCATTCCGGTCACTAGAACCGTATCCGAAGCGGAGGGTTTCGCTGTTGCTCGCTTTCAGTACATTGCACTCCGAATATAGTCCAATTGATAAGAATGAAAGCAATCGAGATCCCGATTGCGTGCAGCAATTCAAACAAACACAACGGGTATTTCAAACTCAAACCTTGGGGTCATTGACAAGCGTTATTTGAAAACTGTCTAGTTTCCCTACAATTGCCGGTTTTTGATGCTTTTATATAACGGCCGAACTCGTTCCCATTGCGGATAAGATATCAATTAGATTCACGGTATCTTGAGGTTCCAGTCGTGGCAAGGGAGCAATGAGAGCACATATAAAACACAAGTGGTAGTAATATTTAAATCACATGATGAGCAAGGGGTGAAACGGTAATCAGAATAGTTGGGTGAAACCTGCTGTCATGAAGTAATAAGTGCGACAACTGAGCGGTCACGTGGAGCAAGTGTAGATGCGCCGTGGGGCGGTGCCCATTGCAATTGACGCCAAATTCAACCTGCTGCTAATACGATGCGATAACTCTTAGTCTATCTCTATAAATGTAGCGCAAAAAAGGATACGAAGAGTTGAGGCTGCAACAGTCAGTGTCCGTCAAGTATAATCGTTTTATCGGAGCCAGCAGTTTGCTGAAATAGGGATCTCGATCAGCAGCAGCTAAATTATCCATGTAATAGATGATCAAAGGCGAGGCATGGGGACGAATTCTGATTGGCGCAATATTTGGCAGCAATAAGCGAAAATGATTCCTGATCATGCGCTGTTCGTGGTCGACACGAACATCCCACAGAGATATTGGCCTCTGTAATGGATATTCAAGTAAGAAGCTTGAATCTGTTAGATCTTCCCTTTTTCGCTATTCCGAATCAACCACCCAGAAATTTCTCCGCAGCAATTCTAGCCCAGCCGAAGAAAAATCAAAATTCCAACAGCCTTGACCACGAAAAACGTGTTAACAAAAACTCTGCCAACGTAGCCAGAAAATGCCGCCGAAAACACTGTCCTCTCAACTCTGAGGCAAAAGTCCAATTCGCCGGGTGTTTGAAAACGCATTCGTCCGCTCGATCGATTGCCTGATCGACCGCACGGGTAGGCGATTCCCTTCAGCCCAGCTTTCAATCATCATTATATATTTTCCCTTTTTATGTTTTTATCTGATTCCCGGATACCTCCCCTCCTGAAGCTGCTGCCGTTGTGTAGGATGCTAGCCGGGGATTAACCTGGAGCCTCCTGGAAGGGATTCTTCGCCTACCGGTGCATCGCCTTGGCTGTAGTGTTCTGGATTCGAATTCCGTACTCTGCGGTCTGGTACTATTCGTCTGATGACAGGGTTCTTCTACTGGCTCTGTAGGCAAGTTGAAGCTGTCTGTCAACAGGTCAAATGGAAGCTTGGCGGATTCTATTGCTCGTGGCTGACACATTGTTGTTCGCAGTTGGTTTGCATGGCGTACCCATACCTGCGTTCCAACCAGCACGTCGTAAATGACGCTTCCGCGCTTGCACTGGATCGTTCCCGGCGTCCATTTTGCGTGTCCACCCCGATAATCACGCACAAGTACTGGCTGACCCGGTCTAAACGAACGTTGCTTGGCACCAAACCGCCGATTAAAATCACGTTCCATCTTTAGGTTTCTTTCACCAGCTATGGACTCTGAGGATGGCCGAACTGCATCATATGGCATGCGAAGTTTTCTCTTCATCATTGCCTCTGCTGGTGATATTCCACCCGGTGTTTGTAAATTTTGTGTAGATCGGTACGGAAATAGGAAGCGGTCGATCACCTCCTCTATGTCTCCCTCCTTGATTTGAGGAGAACGCGGTTGAATGTATCCACAAACCTCTCCGCTTGGCCATTCGATTGTGGGTGGAGTGGTGGAGACCGCACGTGTTTGATGGCGCAACGTTGGCAGAATTCCGTGAATGTGGCCGAAGTAAACTGTGCTCCATTGTCCGTCACTAATGTTTCAGGGCAGCCGAACCTGCTGAAAATTTGTCGCAACCTAGAGACAGTTGCGCTGGTTTTCGTGCTTCTCATGAGGAACACTTCGGGCCACTTGCTATAAGCGTCGACCACTATGAGAAAGTTCTGACCATTGATTGGGCCTGCAAAGTCTACATGAACACGACTCCAAGGTTTAGTTGATTTAGACCATGAGCGGAGTTCAGTCTTTGGCGGTGCCCTTGAGGCGGTAGCGCAGTTGCCACAACTTTTAGCTAGCTGCTCTAGCTTTCTGGTCATCTCTTCTGTCGACGATGATGAATGTACTGGGTCGGTTTGTACTGTATTGCAAATCTGACTCATTGGAGCATCAACCAGTTGTAATTTTTCCATCCAGTCAAGTCCAAGGAGGTTTAAGTTTGGTCGATCAGACAAGTAGCAGGTTCCGGCCTTTTCCACTCCGTTGAATGCAATTTTGCAATTTATTTCTCCGACCAACTTCAGCACTCCACCGGATGCATTGTGAGCGATTTTGTTGGAATCAATCATTTTCGGCTTCTTTATGTGCTTCCAAGTGTTCTTGGAAATGATCGTTATATCTGATGCCGTATCGAACTGCAGCCGGGTTGGGATTCCGTTGATAAGCACAGTGATAAATCGGCGGCGTGTTTTAGAATCGCTGTGAAACGTAGCAATCACCGATAGTGATTCTGCGTCAGGTTTTCTGAAATTCTTCCTTCGGTAGGACTGCTTCACATTTCTTGGCCGGGACTGATGGCAAAAGTCTTCCTTGTGGCCGCGTTTATGGCACTTATCACAAATATGACGCTTGAATGGACAGTATCGTGCGAAATGCCATTCACCACATGACCAACAAGGTGTAGGCGGCTTGTTCGGCTTTCTGTTGAACGCCTTATTCGAGCCAGGCTTTCTTGCTTTTTGCACAGCATGAACAGTATCGGCAATGGTGGGGCGACTCTGCTCAATCATAGCCGTGTCGTGTTTCAAGGTAATTAACCGTTTGCATTCGCGTACAAGAGACTTCAATGTCAAATCTGGGTCTTGATCCAACTTAGCAAGGAGCCGAGTGCGGATTTCCGCGTCGCGTGGAGACTGTAAAGCACTGACAAATATAAGACACTTAAACTGGTCATCCGTCAAACAGCGTAATTTGAAACGTTCACATTCGCGGTTAACCATGTCTGCTAGTGCCCCATAATCGTCCATATCCCGCTTTACAATTTTTAGACATTGATAGCGAATGCTAAACAATGATGTTGACTCACCAAAAATTTCTTTGAGTGTTGCCACTGCTTCGTTGAAAGTGATGTCCTTCGGCTCTTTGGGCAATATGTGGTCAAGGAATCTTGTATGTTCATTAGTTCCCAGCTTGCGGAGCAAAAGGCGCACTTTCCATGAATCATCTTGACGGCTGAAATCCGTCTGGAGCATATCCTCACAACGTTTGAACCACGCCAAGAAAGTGGATTCGGAATCAGCATCATAATGAAATTCAGTGATTGAATTCGTAAGAAGATCAAGTGAAACAGCCTGCGTGTCCCTTGTAGCTGCTGCGTTTGATTGTACGTTTAAGCACTGCGTTAAACTTTCAATCAGTTTCATTTGTGCTTCCATCTGGGATTGTTGCTGAAGAAGCAGCTTTTGAAAATGTTCGGCAGAAAAATTTGTAACATTTCCGTGCTTGTCCGTCGCCATTGTTAGATCTTCCCTTTTTCGCTATTCCGAATTAACCACCCAGAAATTTCTCCGCAGCAATTCTAGCCCAGCCGAAGAAAAATCAAAATTCCAACAGCCTTGACCACGAAAAACGTGTTAACAAAAACTCTGCCAACGTAGCCAGAAAATGCCGCCGAAAACACTGTCCTCTCAACTCTGAGGCAAAGGTCCAATTCGCCGGGTGTTTGAAAACGCATTCGTCCGCTCGATCGATTGCCTGATCGACCGCACGGGTAGGCGATTCCCTTCAGCCCAGCTTTCAATCATCATTATATATTTTCCCTTTTTTATGTTTTTATCTGATTCCCGGATAGAATCACAAGGTGTCCTATTAAGAAAAGTGTGTGACCCTTTCCGAGTTCCTCAGAGACACCCATGTAAGAAAGATCCAAAGTTAAAGGTCAGAGAAAGACGGTCCCAGGGCTCGCCTCATGGATAATGGAGAATATATACGACTAAACCACTTACATATCATAACGTCACTTTAATTAACACAGAGCACGAGTAACACGGGTTTGGTCAACGGTGAGACGG